CAGACAGACAGACAGAGAGAGAGAGAGAGAGAGAGAGAGAGAGAGGTGAGGAGTCAAAAAGACAGTGAGGAGAACTAAGAACTAAGAGTGAGAGAGCCCTGATGTGTACCTTGATTTTGCTGGGGCGTGCGCATCCTTGATGACCTGCAGGTGGTCACTCTCAGGCTTGCTGTTCCAGCACCACACCTGGAACATACACATGACACACACACATGACACAAAGAGATGACACACATACACACATGACATACACACGACATGACACACATACACTGATCTGGTTTCCCTCAAATCTGGAACACACACACATGACACGCATACTGATCTTGGTTTTAATGAGAGTTTTACGTCACTCGCAACATAATATGGGCACAGGTGTTACAAAAGAGTAATAAACACAAAAGAGGAGGAGAGATAAGGATGACCGATGTTTGATAGGAAAGAAGAAGCAAACCACACCAGGGCAAACGCCAACCACCTGTTCATGCTGATCTCATTTCTCTCAAACCTGGAACACACACATGACACACACATGACACACACATGACACACACACTGATCTTAGTTTTAATACGAGTTTTACGTCACTTGCCACACAATAAGGTAATATTACGTGCTGAAGATTACAGGTGTTACAAGAGAGTAACAAACACAAAAAAAGGAGGAGAGATAAGGACGATAGATGTTTGATAGTAAAGAAGGAGCAAACCACACCAGAGTACCCGGCAACCACCAGCCCATACTGATCTGATTTCTCTCACGCCTAGAACACAAACAGGACAAATATAATGAATGAGTGAATGAATGAGTGCATGAATGAATGAATGAATGAATGAATGAATGAATGAATGAATGAATGAATGAATGAATGAATGAATGAATGAATGAATGAATGAATTAATTAATAATTGAATGAATACATGAATGTACAAATGATCGAATGAATGAATAATTCTTTCTCTTTCTCATACAAATCCTTATAAACGCACACTCACTTTTCACTCTCTTTCTCTATCTAATTCATACCTACCAACACACAAACATGCTCTCACTCTCTCTCTTACATACATACACACACACACGCAGACACACACGCAGAGATACACACACACACAAACACACACAGACACACACCTGAGCAAAGCTGAGGAAGAACAGCTGCTGATGAGAGAGGCCGATGGCTGGAAGGAGCTGCTCCTCACCATTGCGAGACACCCAGTTCTTATACGCCTGGGAAAATAATATATTATGTAAGGCATCTCGGTGAAATCAGGCGCTTGTCAAAATAATGAAATCAATGAAATCAGCATTTTTCCACCAGTTTGGCAAACTTTGGTCGGATTTTTGCTTTTTGGCTCAACAACTTTTATCCCCATTTCAAAACACATTTCTTTGTGAATTTTATTGAGAAATGCTGATGAAAGGGACAAAAATTGTAAATTTTCAGTTTCCAAGGACTCTCAAGCCTTGTAAGTCACCAAACTTTGGCGGCCATTTACCCCTGGCCCAGGCGACCGCATCTCCTGAAATCGCAAATATCTTGACTTCTATTCAAGGTAGATTTTTTGGGGGGTCAAAACGAAGACAAATGAAAAAGCGTTGAGAAGATACCAATAACTCCACAAGCCCCAAAAGTTATGAGCACCCGATTCCACTGCATAGTGACTCATATCATATGGAGTCAGGAGTGACCTATAATAATAATAAGTGGTATATCTATGCTCTACAGCATGCTCTATGTGTTTCAAAACTATTATTATCCTAGCAGACCACAGAACACTCAGAAACATTCTCAGCTTCTTGGAACGTATACAGTGCAAGCTGCTGATTAAGCCCTCAAACACAAACAAACTGGCAAGATACTTCACTGTCTATAGCTGGGTACCCATTCTTGCCTGAGTGAAGTGAGGAAAATTAACGAAAAGAGCCTTTCCCGAAAACATGGCGGGCCCCAGATGAGATTTGAATTAACGACTCGACAGTTGTGAGTCCTCGAATACAACTACTAGATTGCCAACCTACAACTAATCATCACGGTCATATCACAATCACTCAAGTCAATTTTACTGGTTATAAATACTGTGGTAAAAATGCCGTTACTTGTTTTGTATCGTCAAAATAGTTCTGATTTGTTTCATACACCACCAGATGAACGGGAAGAAGAGGAAGTTTCCTACATCACAAATCCAATTATTCTGATCATCTTTTCACCTTTGAGCAATTCATGAGGCTGATTTAGGAAAGCACCATTTTTTTAAACTTCCTTAAAACAACAACAAGATAAATACAAAGCTGTGATGAGACGGCGTATAATTCTTTTTTCCCTCAACCCACCCATTCATCCTTCCATAATTGAGACCCCTGGTTCTGATAGGCCTGAGAAAATGGCACAACGGTAGGGATCAGTCACAAGTACAACATATTATGGACAATATTTATCTATTCATCCATCTGTCTATCCATCAATCTTTTGACAATCAACCTATTTATTCATCCATCCATCCATCCATCCATCTATCAATCTGTCTACCAATGTATCCATCCACCTCATCCATTATTCATCTGTGAAGTTGGTTCTTCAAGCACGTTTATATTACTGAGTTATCTCTCTTTGACATCTAAAAAGCATCAAGTTGCCTCATCCAGCAGTTCACAAACAGACAGTTCGTGAACTCATGAACTTTCAAAGGAAATAGAATTGTATTGTAGTATCCTAGACGGTGCACTCTGACGTATTTCAGTTCACAATGAAGTGCACTGTTTCTCTGAATTTGAGCCAAATAAAGAGGAAGGGAAAAAGGTGCTGCACATATTCAACTGAAGCGACAAGACTGGTGTTTTGCTTTTAATTTAGGTGTAATGGCATTGCCTATGAGCGCAGGCTTCACAGCAATGTTTTTAACAAAGAGTGAAGAACGGCGGTCAGCGGTCAAGACGGTGCGTGGTCTAGGAGAACCAGATTATGCTGCTGTAAGCTGACAAAATGCCTTTTTTTTTCATTTTTGGAGCCATTTTCTTCTTTTTTTTGGTGCTATATTGGTAGCCTGATCAGTTACCCTACTTGTGTGAAAAGATCAAAGTGAAACTGTGACTAGTTCCAAAAAAAAATTAGATTCACATTTCTGAAGAATCCCTTTTTTCAAAATATGAAAACGCTGACAAAATGCCTTTTATCTCGAAACTGTCGTGAAAAAGAAAAAGCCGTTTTGACAATGTACGACAGTGTGACCTGTAGACTTACATGGTAGGCAGACTTGAGCCCTCCATTGTCTGCTATATTCTCTCCAAGGGTCTGTTTACCCCGTTCCTGCAGAAATACAGACATATACACAGACACACAGATTACAGATGGGACGACATGGAAGGGCTTAATTTGTCCAAACAACACTCTGAAAAGGGTATGTGTCTTTTATCAAAATATTTACTGTACACATACATTACACTTAAGTTCCTCTTGTTATATCAAATACTATATTTAAGCATTGGATCCGTCGTAATGAACGATTCAGATGTTTTTCTATATAACACTATAACAAAGAAAAATGAAGGGATTTACCCATCGAGAGATGGGGTGTGTGCCAAGAATGAAGAGGGGGAGTGGGGGGAGGGTGATGTTTCAGTCAGAAAAAAATGGATGGGGGGGAGTGCACTTACAAAGAGAGAGGCCGATAAGGGGAAATGGAGTGATGGGAGTGTCCACTAAGAAAGAGACAGATGAGGAAGAGGAGTAAAGGGGGGGGGGGGGCAGAGTGGGGTGGATGTGGGTGGGTTGGGAAGGCAAGTCACAAATGTGCTACGAGAGGATCAACTCAACGTACGTGCTCGCCGTGTATCGTGTAGGAACTGTACTGGTCCACCATACACTGAGTCTTCTCCTGGAAGCGACGTATGGCCGCCGGGTCCCACCACTGTTTCAGATTTCCGTTTTTGTCAAATTCCCGACCTGTACAAGAAAAAAAACCCCAAACACAATAAAATAACAATAACAATAGATAGCATTTGTATAACGCAAATCCCCGCTCAACAGCAAGCTCAATGCGCTTCACAATCTATACTACTGCCCCAGCAGACCTGAGAGCATTCTGAAACAACCTAAACTTCCTGGGAAGCACACAGAGCAAGCAGCCATTTATAGGCGCTAAAACACTAACATACAGACAAGATCTTTCGCTGTCTACACATGAATAAGGTGAGGCTTTACTGTTTGAATCTGCCTTGAGGCTGACATGGGATTGTGGCAGCAGTTAGAGATCTTTTGACATTATTCTTCCTCATCACCCTTAAAGGTTTAGACAGTTTTTCCCCAGTGTCTCCATTTGCATAACATAAAAACACCAAACTGAGTAGAAACAAATGCTCAAAGCAGTAAAGACAACATTTTATTGTATAAATTTATCTTAGATAATCTGCATTAGCTGGAGTTTCGTACATTTTCATTAAAGAAAATACACAAGCAATGCCATGGGTTTGTGATCAGCTAGCCCAGCAGAAAAATAGCATCTACATCACACCAGTTGATCCCCCCCAAAAAAAAAACAACAAACAAACAAAAAAACAAACAAACAAAAAAACAAAAAAAAACAACCAAAGTTGGAAAAATGTTCTTTTAATTCAAAAAAATTATCACAAGACAGTATTACAGAATGTGGCAATGCAAGGCTTCAGCTCCTTGTTGCCCTCTCCCAACATCCCCCCTCCCCCTCCATCTTTTCTTCTCCATCCTTTCAACCTCTTCCTCCGCCATCTCAGCTGACCGTTCAAAACCCTAACCTAACAACAATATATAAAATAACAACTTGACATTAACAAGGAAGAGTCATGTCCCTTACCTTGATCATCAAAGCCATGGGTCAGCTCATGTCCCATCACCACTCCCATTGCCCCATAGTTGAGAGATCTGTAGGGAAGAGAAGATAAGCTTAATCTTCATTGTCGAGACCCTAGCACATTGGTATGGCGTTTAAACACACACACACACACAGATACACACACACACACATACACACACAATACGCACAAACTCAAACACACATTCACACATGTAAAAAAGTACTCATCTATCTTGAATAGAAATTAAGATATTTGCGATAGAAAGAGATGGGAGTGGCCTGGTGTGAGAGGAAAAGTTAGAGAGAAAATGGTCGCCAAAGTTGGTAACAAAGCTTCAGTCCTTGGAAACACCAAATTTACTTGTATTTCTATCTTTGGTTTACATTTTTGAGGGAGAAAAACGCACACAGGAATATGTATGTAAAGGGACATAAAATAAGGTCTCTCAAACTACCAATTTCATCCATGAGATTGGACAAATCTTTCAGATTGGCATGGCCATTTGAATCAATAAGTACAGGTAATTCAGCAGGAGTGCTCGGCATATTTCTGTTAAGTTCTTTTGTGGTTTTGTCTTTCTCCTCTTTGCCTCAAAGGCTTTCGGGGTCTCTTTGTTTCATCTCGCTTACGACTAATTTCTGTTCTAGCTAAGGAGTAACATATTGGTGGACCTTAAAACACACATCCCCTGGGGCGGTGCTACTGACGGAAGTGTCTTTAGGGCATTCCCAAAGAGGGGGGCATTAACATCCCGAGTTCTTATGCACAGTAAAATTGTAATTGTAAATGGGCTGATTCATCAATGTCATGCTCATAACTGCGCCTGAACTGCAACAGGGAACAGCTGCTTTTTCTTCCCTAATCCTTAATATCGTAATTTTTCATCTACTTCTTTTGTAAGTTTGTCACACTCTTGTGACCCGCTATTTCAGGGGTGCCTTGATAGTTGAAGCAGACTTTGTGCTGGTGAAGCTAGAGAGGTGAGCAGAGTAAGTCTGATTCCCTGTAAGGATTTCTCTGCTGACATCCAACCCTTGGCGCTCATATGATCTTGTGTAGTTGCGAGCGCTGTGAAACCTCTACTAAAACAAACATAAAAAGATAAAAACACACACAACATCAGCAATGTTACAACCTACAAAATTGTAACAGAGTCTGAGATATTTGATAAATGGATTCAAACACACAGACAAGCAACAGTACTTGAAATACTTTAAGCTCTGAAAACCGGAGCTGTGAAAACTCACTGAGGAAAGCTTTTGTCGAAGAACGGAGCCTGCAGAATGCCTGCAGGGAACACAATGGTGTTCTTACTGGCAGTGTAGTAGGCGTTGACGGTCGGGGGCGTCATCACCCACCTGAGGAGACATGGGGGGGGGGGCGGGGGAACTTTCAGATAAGTAAACATCGTAGTTGCGAGGGAGAAACTTTCTGACAAGACAAAACGAGACAACTTAGGACAGGTGAGCACTGGTGAGATGAGGAAAACTTTCAGGCAAGACAATTGAGTGTTGGTGAGATGGAAGAATTTTCAGACAAGATGAGGGGGCAATGGTGAGATGGCGAAACTTTCAGAAAGGATTAGTGAGAATTTGTGTTATTCTCACCATTGTCAAATAGAATGATGGTGTCAGTCACAAATGAGTCAACACCAACATTTTCCAGAGCCTGATTCTTTTTACTATGTTGAAAAACAGTCTCAAACACATCATCAAATTAAATGATGCAAAGTTTCGATGGATTAGAAACGCAACAAACATCGACTTCAAATTTGAGTTAAAGTGGTCTTTCATGGTTTAATTTAACTTGGCTTCCTAAGAGATGGACGATCTGTGCCCGATACCATCAATAATATTACGAGAAGGACAAAGCAGAACATCATGTTCACTACTCTTATGTCGTAGTGTCACATTGCCTCCACATGAACTCAAATAGAATTTTTAAAATGAAATTCTACCAGTTTTTATATAAGTTGCGGGGTCGATAGCAACAACAACAACATTTAAGTTAACAGGACTTACTCATTTTTGGGAACTTTCCGGAGTTTCTCAAGCGACTTTTTTATGCTGAACCGAAGACAAGCCAGGTTGTTACCGAAGTAGTCAGAGGCGTTTATGTTGAGCTGAGGAGGTAGAGACAAGGGAAAATGTTTATCACAAGCAAAAATTGATTTTGCTGAAGATACAAAAACAAACAAATGAAAAACCCTTGAGCATCATTTCAGCTATTTGCAACATCAAACAGAAGTAAACAGAAATAATGGAGAGTGGAAAAAAATTATAATCACAGATGGTTTAATGCTTCCCCCCCCACTGAATTAGTTTAGATCATTCAGAAGGTGGGCTTCAACCCTGGCTGTCAAGGCCAACAAAGGGGCGAGAGAGAAACAAAGTCCCTGCAGAAAGACGGAGATACTTGATAAAAAGACAGGAATCAACCATGTCTTCTGTGCGTGACGGAGCAGCACTTAACCAGTACATCACAAACATTGTGAGTTCAGTAAGCATTAAGGCCAAATGCACACAATCTGGGTCATTCAGAGCTGAGATGAAGCAAAGTGGTACAGAGAGAGAGAGAGAAAGAGAGAGAGAGAGAGACTGAGAGAAAGAAAGAGACAGAGAGACAGAGAGAGAGAGAAAGAGAGAGAGAGAGAGAGAGAGAGAGAGAGAAAGAGAGAGAGAGAGAGAGAGAGAGAGAGAGAAAGAGAGAGAGAGAGAGAGAGATAGAGAGAGAGAGGGAGAGAGAGAAAGAGAAGGAGAAGAAGAATACAGAGAAAGAGAAATGTGTATATAAGAGTGTGAAGGTTTTAAAAGGCGTAAAATAGGTAATAAGATATATCGTTACTACTTCGCCAATTTTTCATTGTTAAAAGTTCTGGAAAGTAACTCCCATGATATTTGAGGGAAAACTGTACTATCTATGCTTCTCAGATGGAACCACAAATGGAAAAAATCTGTGTGCCATTACTTAAGTTGGACTGTTGGAAGCACACTAAAGTATAAAAGGCCCTACAGTTAGAATTTCCAACAAAGCATCCTTGAACTTTAGCTGTCAGGAGCATCTTTAAGGCTGTCCCATTCTGCTCCATTCTACCTGTGATGGACATTACATTTCACAGGACTGACTTATTAAAAACTTTCCAGTGTTCAAAAAGGGTGTTACAACTTGTAGCTGCAGATGGAAAGAACATTATGAAGAGGACAATTTACCCCTTCGTATTTCTTGTCCAGCTTGGCGGTATCTAAGATGTAGGTCGGGTAGCCAATCATGTCTGTGACAGCGTTGGCCTGGCAGCAAATCGGGAGTTGGGAGTCCGAGGTAGGAAGGGGTGAATGGAAGAAGAGATCATATTAGTTCCTTTGTTAAAAATAAATGACGAGTAACTTAGAAAAATGATGTAACTGTAGGTGTTTTATTTCTTCATCTACACAGTATAGAGATCATTTATGGAGTGGGCTGTTTCGACCCTACACATGCTAGGGCCAACAAAGGCTGAGAAGGAAACAATATCCTGGTAGACAGACGGAGATGCTCATTAGAAAATCTCCTTACACAGGGGTCAAATCACATCTTCTGAGTGTGGCAACATAGTGCCTTACCACAACATCACAGACACCAGTGAACAATTTTGAGCTAGCATTAATAAAATAATGCCCACGAGAAATTAAAAATTGTGACAGATATTACACGGGCGAGAGGGCCTGATACAGTATATCGAGATGATTAACGTTTGCAGGATATAAAATCAAACTGTATTCCTCTGCATGATTAAATCATCATTATCATCAATCATCAATCATCAATACCACAACCACCACCACCACCACCACCACCACCATTATCATCAGCTCCCATACATATGTAATGTATAATATACACTAAATCAAGCCCCGACCATTGCATCACTATTATAAAACGAAACAATTTCCATTTTTTTAAACACCATATTTACAACTACACAAAACCCGTTCATATATTATGTTACCTAACAAGTCACCTTATCAATGGCTGCTGCTTGTGTCTTTGGATCCATCCACTTTAGCCTGGGAAGGTTTTCCTTGAAAGCCTCGCGTACATTCTCTATCATCTCCTTGGCCTGAGAGACAGACAAGGACATGACAAATTGTTTTACCGAGCATTTTACTGCATTTGCAAAACAATTAGGTCATAATATAAGTGCAGAAGATTAAAGAAGTTACAAGAAAGTAAAAAAAACAAAAAACAAAAAGGAGTAGAGATAAAGACGACAGATTATGTTTGATCGGAAAGAAGAAGCAAGACACATCAGAGCATCCACCACAAAGCAAAGAACAGTAACAGTCATGAGGAGAAACTAGCTCCTATCCTTTGCTTCTTTCTAAAAGAAATGCTGAACGAATTTATCAAAATGGACTTCTTTTTAGATTTGAACTCACGTTATTGAAAGGGTAGTAATCAGTCTCATACTATATGTCTTCAATACACCAGAGGGTGATGTTTCAGTCATTTTTCCCGAGTAAAGCCAGACAGACAGACAGACAGATATATACGCTGCATGGGACTAAAACTTGAAAGTGGAGTACAATATTTTCCCATTTGCATTTTAAGAAAAATGAGTACAAGGATATGTATTTGTTTCAGTGAGAGTATATGTGCATGTGTGCATTTGTGTGTGTGTGTGTGTGCGTGTGCATGTGTGTGTGTGTGTATGTGTGTATGTGAGGGTGCATTTGTGTGTGTCCGTGTGTGTGAGTGTATGTAAGAGTCAGTGTGTTGGTGCATGTGAGAGTGTATACTTGTGTATTTATGTGCGTTTGTACACAAGTGTCAATGTGTCAGTATGTAATTCTGAATATGCATATGTATTTATGTATGTGTGTATATAATTTTGCATGCGTATGTCTCATTAAGCCCGACGCGACGTCACATCGCATGCTGTCATTGCTGCTCCAAAAGCAATCAAGCAAAATTATAATGAACCTGCCTCCTTGCAGCCGACGTGTCATCTAACAGTGCGCGACTGTCACCTGTGATCGGTCCATGTAGCTATCGAAATAGCTTGGGTGTGACAAATTTGAAACATCACCATAGGTCAAAATACCTAGCCAAGGAGTGTCAGTTGACACGCTGTGTGTGTGATGTGTGATGTGGTCGCGCATAAGGAGACATAGGCTTATATATTTATAGATATGCATGCATACCTTGCCCCTGCTCTCTCCTTTAAATGTGTCCTTGACAAAAAGGGCTCCCGTCGCAAAGCCCAGGACAGAGTCTGTGTTTGTGATACAGGTGTGCCACACATCATCGTTACCTTGCACACCTGAGGAAGGAACGCAGAAAGTATTATTTTAAGAAATGTCATTGTATTAAATATCTCTTGTCTTTCATCCCTTTATTGGCCCAGACAGACAGGGTCAAAGAAGTCTACCTGGAACAGTGTGTCAATTTTGGATGAGGGGAAAAAAAGGGGTGGGAGGGAAAGTATTATTAAGAATCATCAGAGTTTTTCTTATTCACCCTAAGCATTGAAATCAGTGGGCCTATATTCTATTCGCATCAATCTTTGGTAATTCTATTCACACTGAACGTAGTATCAGTATTTTATTCACAGTAAGCCTTGTTTTTTATTTTTGTTCATACAAGGTCTAAAGTAACATTAAGAACCATTAAGTATCTTTTTATTCACTTTAAGCATTAAAATCAGTATTTTATTCACCCAAATCATTTGTATTCTGTTCACGCTGAACGCAGTATAAGCATTTTATTCACACTAAACATGTTTTAATTTAGTAATTTTACATTAAAAATACATTTTAAAACCTCTCACCATGGGTAAAAATCTGCAAAGTAGGAACAATATTCATAGGGGCGCAAAAGTAGGTATGCTGTAAGTATCACATAATTGTTATGAAACTTAATTCATTAAGATTATTTGGGGAATATGTGAATACCAACGGCAAGCAATTTGAGTATCAGAGGAATGAAAGCTGTGTTCATTATTAAATGAATTGTGATTTTTATTAAAAATTTGTTTGTATAGGAAATGAAATACATATTATACACATTTTCTTTTTTCATAACTGTATACCAACTTTTGCAGCCTTCC